TATAGGAAAGAGTATAGGATGCGGAAGAGGAAGGAACGGTTGAATGCGTTCCTTGACCCGTTTGTTAAAGTACTGCTCCAGCATTCGCCAGGAATAGATCGGAGAAACCACGGAAAACTACCTATCAGAACAGCCAGGCGTTAGAATTCTCCTCGAGACTGCGGCTGGATTCAACTTATCTGTGTAGCTAGAGACGAAAATCCTGCCACCATCAGGACTCGATTCCAAAGACCGGTCAGAGGCACCCATGTCCCAACAATGAGATGTAATTCACCGAACTACAGCTGCCGTCTCGCGGAGCGGAATGGTATTGTAGCATTCCAATCTGATATTTCCTGAAGGCTAGCAATTTTTTCATATAACATTTAAATCGTATTTATAAGAGAGAAAACCTAATTGGGCTAATTTCAATTAAATTTTGTGGATTGCTTGAAACAAAATACATCAGTATATTGTAACCCTTCGCAGGACTCCAGTCCAATAAAGTTCGCAAATAAACTTTTTTGTCTAGAAAAACAGTATTTTTCGAAAATTAGTTTTTAGTAGTCGGTAGAAGAAGAAACAAATGACAACGTGAATGCGGAAACGAATTTTATATTCTCGTTGAATAACAGGGGAATTTTCAAATTAGAAAACAATCATTAGGAAAATCATCCGGAAGCAATTCGAAAGGGGGTACAAAAATTTAGAAGAAAACTTAAAGAGGGAAAAAGATACTTACACGGAAGAACAATTGAATATAGGCAACTGATGTAAGTAGCTTTCAAAACAAGTTGGAATTTTGGCAATGCAAGTGAACCAGAGGGCAAAACACTTTGAGGAACGCCGCGAAGTCAAAAGCAAAATTTTCAGAACCTAGAAAAAATGCAAAAACAGAATAAATTTGACGAAAATATAAAATGTTTCATAAGACCTTGGTAACAAAGGAAAGCGAGCGTTGTTGTTTTGTTGAAAAAACAATCGGAAGACAAGACTGATTGAGAAGAACAGAGGGATAATAGATTTCGAATCAACAACATGCGCTAGCATGTGCTGTTAAGTTTTCGTGTTTTGGGGAGAACGAATTTTTATGAGAGAGGTGTATTGGGAGCATGCGCTAACCGTAATATTTAGATAGTTGGGAGCCAGAAGTACGGCATTTAGTAGGTAGCGTACTACCGCATATGATGTGTGGAAATATAGAAACGGTGAGCCCAGCTGATGGAACATTATGGTGAAACGGTAGAGGAAACGCGAGCCGATGGCAAAGCAATCGCATTCAGGGAAGTGAACATTCTGCAGATATTACCCGCGCGTACGGAATACATTTATAAGATGGCCAAGTATTGTAGTAAATTTAGTAAACCTCGAAAGAAGGTAGATGTCCATTAAAACTACGACGAAAGATTATGAATGAGAGTGGTGTAAATATTTAGTAATTAAGTGTGAATAATGAATTTAGATTGTATTGAAGGGTTTCTCGTTTTTGTGTAATGGTTTTATGGGCAGCGTCACAGAGGAAAGTGGCGACTGCACAGATTAACGCCGCCGAATAAATAAACAGTACCACTGAGCACGGTACTGATATATACTGATATACATTTGAATAATGCCCAAGTCTCTTCTTGGTTTGTAGATAAAGAAACATAATGCCCCCCCCATTACCAATAAGATAATGAGAAATATCATTATCCCTATCCTGTTCAGGTGGGAACATCAATCCCATGTCCCAATATAAATTTTCCAGTGGTAAGACCGCTCGTGCCGGAAAGATTTTAATTTTAAAATTTCTATAAATAGAGTTTAGGTATCAGGTAAACACATAATAAATGTAAGAAAATAATTTTAATAAAGAAAAGGTGGGACGGTCACAACAATGAGAATGTAAATACATTCCTCGCAACACGGACAAAAAGTATAGATTATCAAATAGGTTTTAAATAATTTCTAAAACATTAATTTGTAAACGTATAACAAAATCTCTCATGTAATAACCAAACAAATAAAACTGACATAATATACAAATTCTAACTTAAGTAGCTTCCAAACGTTTCTAAAATTACTTTCTCGAGGCGCAGGAAATTCGAAGCGGGCGGCTGTTTGACACCAAATTACACAAAAAAATACTAATGTTTTCGAAAAATTTAACTTAACTTTATTTGAAGATCTGTTTTTGATTAACATATTTCATTAAGAAAAATATATCTTCACATTTGTATTTGTAGAAAGACGTCAAAAAAACGTTTGTTTTTTTTCAATTTTCGAAAATGGATTTCAACGAACATTAAATCTGCACCATTCTCTTAAGCGTTCTTTACGCTAAGGTCCAAATGTAATCAAAAAATTTGTGTAGTTTTTAAGAAAAAATGGTTTGCAGAAAATAAAAATTACATCTTTGACACTAAATTTTGTAAAAAAAAGTACTCATACTTTCGAAAAATGAAACATTATCTTATTTGAATATATGGTTTTGATGAACAAATTACATTAACAAAAAATTGTATCTTCATAATTATAGTTGTAGGAAGTGGCCAATTTTCTTTTGAGTTTTTGCAATTTTCAAAAATGATATTTAATGAACATGAGACCGGCACCATTCTCTTAAGAGTCTTATACGCTATCTGTGATCAAAATTTCATCAAAAAAAACTTGCTGCCGTTTTTGAGAAAAAATTGTTTAAAGAAAATTAAAAATTGCCTATTTCACGCAAAAGTACATGAAAAGTATTTATATTTTTGAAAATTCGTACATGAACTTATTTTAAGTCTATCTTTAAGGAACAGATTTCTCTAAGGGAAAAATCTGTGTCTAATATTTTAGTTGTAGGAAGACTACGGAAAAATTTTGAACTTCTGCAATTTTTTAAATAAAATCAAGGTTTTAACGAGATACCTACACCATTTGGAAACGTCTCTCGCACTATCCATTAACAAAATTTAATCAAAAACATAAGAAACATTTTTTTGCGAAAGTTTTTCTTTAGATCGGGGATTCATGAAATTTAGAGAGACTATCTTGCTGGTGTTTATGATGAGTTTGTTGTCTTAAAACCATTTACTAGCGCTTGCAAGTTTTGTGAGTTTCTTTTTCTAATGATTGCTATGTTTTTGCTTTGATGATTTGTGTAAAATTCGTGTCATCAGCAAACAGAATTATTTTGTTATTCCTTAAAGCCAAAGACAAGTCATTTATGTATATAAGGAATAGTATTGGCCCGAGGATGGCTCCATGTGGGACTCCACAATTTATCATTTGAGGGCAGGAGTGGTATGAGGAGATTTTGTTTTCTTTAGTGTGCTGGAGGGCTATGGTTTGATAAACTGGCTACTGTTTGATAAATATGATTTTATCCATTGGCCTGCAATGCCTTGAATCCCTAGAATTTCTAGTTTTCTTAAAAGTATGTGATGGATAATAATGTCAAAGGTTTTTGACAAATCTAAGAAAAGGCCAATGATAATTTTCTTTTGATTTAGTGCAACAAGTAAGTCATTTAAAAAGGAGAAGATGGTGGTGTCTGTGGGTCTATTACTCCTGAAGCCATGTTGTGTATTTGTAAGGAGAGGTGCTGGAGAGGAAAAGAAAGGTGAGGAGGTGGTTGGAAGAAGTGAAGTGGGCAGGAGAGGTGTAGGGGTAGAAAAAGGAACTGCTGTTGGTAAAAGAGAACTGGGGGCAGGTGAAGGATGTGGAGGGGTTCCAAGTAGGTGCGAGATGAGAATGGCTCCTGGATTTTGTTTACCTATCTGGTTCATGTGGAGACCATGCAGAGTAAAATGTTTTCTTCAAAGGTTGTCAATATCAATAAGTGTGGTAGGTGTCCCTCTCAAGTGCTTGTCTTATATGATGGTTTGCAATCTTAATTTCATGGTTTATAGGAATATTGTTGCGCTAGGGGGGCAGAGTGGTCATGATTACATTTGTGTGTTTGGCAGCTTCTTGTATTTTTGTTAAGGATTCCTCTGTATCAAAGGAACTGCCAGAGTTAATGTTGTTCTGCCCACCTATAATTACTACAGTGTCCTGTTGAGTAAAAGATTTAGTTTGAGTGTTTAAGTTCTCAATTACATGTGCCATTGTGGCAATAGGCTTAAACTTACCTGTAATTGAGAACTGTGATGGGAGTTGCTCTCTCGCAATGGAAGAAAGGTGCCTACCATGGCTGTCAGCTAGTAAGACAGTGGTTGGAGCTGTGCTTCACAATATAAACAAGAGAAAATAGGTGTGGTTATAATATATTGCAATAGTTTCATTTCAGTGCAGGTAACTCAAAATCTGAAAAGTGAGAAACTTGAGAAGGTAGTAGGTAGTCTCTGCACCTTTTAATATATTGCAATATCTCTAGTAGAGAAACCATTTCTTTTCAAAGCCACTGGAAAATTATGGACAAGGAAGCTCAAAAAAAAATTCTTTGAATATAAAAGAAGGGCTTGTGAGTCACGTAGAAAAGTCTTCCTATTTTGCTCTCCAATGTAATGAAACTGTAGTATTGGTTCAATTTTTATGAAGACAGCATGATTCCAAATCAATTGTTTCTGTCACAACAAATGCATGGGAACTACTTTCAATGAAAGGAAAGTATATCATAAAAATAATTTCAGATAATTTCAAGAAGCTTCAACTCAAATGGAAAAATTGTGCTTGATTTTATACTGACAGTAAATTATTTTATTACAAGATGTTTTCAAATAACACCTTTGCGTCAAAGCAATCGGCTTTTTTTGTTTCTGATTAAAAAACACTTTTTTTTACTAAGATTTTGTGTGCGCCGTCAACTCGGAAATTTTTGAAAGTGGCCCAGGAGTAAATTTGAAGTAAAAGTAAAATGGTCCGTGGCTAAGTTAAATTGGGAACCACTGCAATACTTATACTATTTATACTGATTAGTACTGAATCGGCGAGACAGGGTTTCAAAACGGCAATCATTCCGCCATGTTTCTTTATTCTTACACATTCAAGATATTTGTACACACGACACACATTTGTGGGGGCTCTGTGCTTGTACGCACGTACAGTATTACGCGCACGTATTCGTCCGCTCTATTACCTCTTCTTCGCTCTCCGATAGTCCATCATGATGACATGATCGCAGTCATGGTGGTCCATGATGCTGCTAATGCTTTTTCATGCTGCCATGGGACTATTGAAAGATGACGCTTCTGTCGTTGCCATAGAAACGGGGAACAAGTCACGATCGTGTTTACATTTTGGTTTGTAGCACAACGCCAGTTATATACTCCAGCTGAGTTTTACCACCTGTTGGATGTTGAGAGAAATACGTAGTTATGCGATGGTGGAGATGTTATTATCTTATAAATGTCTGGAATTAATTTAAAAACCATTACCTCGTATATTTACAATGAGCAAAAGAAGGAACTCGGATTCCGATAGAGACTATAGACACGAGCGCCACGATAAAAAAAAATATTCAAAGAAACAAATATTCGAAGATTTTGATAGAAGCAGATCAGTTGTTCATCATGGTTCAAAAAGTAATGAATTAAGTGGTCATAGTTCACATCATGGAGAAGCTGGAAGTAGTAATCGGAATACTGACAATTTTGAATATTGGAAACGCGATCTCGATGAAGTGCTTTCTAAGTGTTCTATTTCTGATAAAGATGAATTTTGGAAATTTCTTAGATCATACATGACCATGCAGAAAAAGGCCCAGAATAGGAATGGTATGTTAAATCAATTTCATTATATCTTTAATTGTTCAGAAAATGTTAGAATTTTTGGAGAAGATAAGGTTAGGACTGATCAGGCAACACCCAATAAACCTTTTTGAATTAATGAACAAAAAGAAATATATACTAAAGCACGACAATTTTTGTGATAAAAAAATTTGTCAAAGATTGTAATGAAATAATATCCCTTTCACTAGAGGGCAAAAGAAAGAAAGGACGAAAAATAAAGAATTCAGAAAGAGACTTATATTACAAAATTGAAACGAATGATTCAATATCAAATACCCTGGGGAAAAAAGGCATAATGGATACTGCATTTACTTTTAATGAAATAAAGAGTAATAACACTAAGATTTAATATGTTGTAATTTTACTTTGTTTGTCTTTGCAGAAATATTTGATTACAAAAAGACAGATTGTGTGCCATTAACATTATGTGGTGGAGTGGAAAAATTATACACTCGGCTTAATGCAAATGCTTCATTGACACTCTCAAAATTTAAGGAGTTCTGTGATGTAATATGTCTATATCTAGATTTTAGGCAAAGAGAAAAATTTTCTAAACTAGTGAAGCTTAGGGAATGTCAGAAGAATCTTCCCATTACACAGTACAAGTAAGATATATTTTTGGTTTAGTGTCTATTAAAAATAATAAGTATTTTTAGGTATTATAAAGAATTTCAGTTCATTCAAACATCTCTTAAAAATATATATGGAAGTAATTCGTGTGCATGTGCATGTTCTCCTCTGATCTCCTACTCTGTCGTTTTCTACTTTTTTACAAGATTGACAAGTTGGAAAGTGGAAAGAACTCTCTCATAATAAACATGCACCCATTTTGTTCAGAGACTAATCTCTCCATGATCATATATTAAGGGGACAATGAACATGTTATGTAAAAATCACAGAGGCAGGACATGGGTTGCCTGAGACAAGCCTTTGTGTAATTGTGTCAAAATCTTCCCTAAATGTTTCTTCTTTTTCTTAAATTAATGTGCAAGTGTATTGTCAATTACACCAGGAGGTACTAGAACATTCCACGAAACTGATAACATTTTAAAATTTTAAGATATTTTTTTTAGTTGAAATTGTTATTAGTGAAGTAAATTGTTTATATACCACTTAACTTCAGGATAAATATTTAATGTTATATTTGTATCATGAGAGTTAAATAATATGAAAAGTCTTCGGAGACTATGGCTATTTCTATAGAAATTCTGTGTGTTTCGTTTTCCCAACTTTCCTTAATATTCCTCTGTTATTAAAGAAAAAAGATTTGTTTATTTAATTCTTTTTAATTTTAAAAATCTAAAATAGATATGTTACTTTACATTCATATTTTTCATAAGATTTTCTGTTGTTCTCAACCTTGTTTGTACACTTTGGAAAATTTTTGGTACTGATGCAGATCCAGTAATGTTTGGTGTAATTGTGAGGTATTTTTCTTCGCAGGGAAGATATTGTCAAAGCAGTGCAGGAAAATCGTGTGGTAATTGTCGCAGGGGACACAGGTTGTGGAAAATCTACCCAAGTGCCACAGTATCTTCTGAATTCTGGTTTCAAGTGCATTGGTAAGGTGTATGATGATATTCAATTACTTCTTAGAAAAGTACAATACTTTCTAACAATAGTAATTGAAGTATTGGTTCTAAGAATAGAAACATAAAAAACATGAAACAGGTGTATCAAATTGTTCATGAAAATTTTCTAATTAAGAACAAATTTCTGGCAGAAATTGTGAAAAATGTAATGTGAAAATGGACCATGTAAAGTCCACAAGGTAGGGAAAATTTGTGAGATTTTAGAAATAAAACTTTGCTCTATTTCTTAATATCCATGCACTAAGAGAATAAAACACTGTGTTCAAAGAAAATGCAGGATCTGTTCATTATTTTTTGTGTGAGGGTTCCGTGACAAATGAGCGCAAGGATAGCAAATTCTAAGGATGTGGAGAAGCAAACCAGTTACAAAAACATAAATTGATTGTGTGGGCTCTAATATTTTATTTGTTTTAGCCTGCACACAACCTCGTCGTATTGCATGCATTGCTCTTTGCAAGCGAGTGTCCTATGAAACATTGGATAGATATGGTCGGGAAGTGGGGTACCAGATACGATTTGAAAAGAGTCGAAGTCAAGATACAAGAATCCTCTTTATCACAGAAGGTCTCCTTTTGCGGCAGGTGAGAATAAAAATTCTGCAACCTTCTATTTCTTGCCTCTAATACCATTTTAAAGTGATGTTAAATGTATTGGGACATGAATCCTTTATTTTCAAATTTCTCTTTTGGAATGTTGACTTTATCTTGGGAGATACTTTGAGATCCAAGAATGCTTCATAGTTAAGTGAAAAAAATGTTCCTGATCTTAATACTTTTAGAAGACTCATCAGAATTAATCATTGACCTCTTTCTTTACTAATATTTGTACTCTAAGAAATATTTTCATTAAAATATGTGAAGTAAAGGAGTAAGATATTCATATCTTTTTTAAACAATACCACTGTTAAAAGAAATCTATTTAAATATTTAGTTCATTTTATTTTTTATACATTGTTGAGCTGATACAGCATAAACATTTTATGCCGTATTTTGAAATAAAATGCATTTCCTAATTGATGATCTGTATTAGGTTTCTACTGATTCTCTGCTCTCCACTTATGATGTGATCGTTATGGATGAAGCTCATGAGCGTCATCTGCATGGCGACTTCTTGTTGGGTGTTCTCAAGTGTCTCTTACATCAGAGGCCTGACCTCAAACTTATCCTCATGTCAGCCACAATCAATATCGAATTATTTCAGCGCTTTTTTGCTAGAGAGGAGCCTGCCATTATTCAGGTATTTATTTTTCATCCCTAAAATGCTGGTTTGCTTATTCAAAGTTGTTGCACAGAAATGTTTTTCTTATAAGCTCTGAGGTTGACGAAATCTAATTTCTACTAATGTTGTAAATCTTAAGCGTTTTTGCAATTTTTTATTATTATTATTATTGTTATTATTATTATTATTTTAAAATTTTATTCATCTTTCAACTTCTTATGATTAAAATGTTGAGAAGGGGTTCTGGAACTCATGGAAACATGCACAGTTCATTTTCTCCCCATATGTCACATATAGTTTATACTATTTTTGACTAAATAGATCAAAACAAATCAAGTCCAATCCAATCCAATCCAATCCAATCCAATCCAATCCCATCCAAGCCAATCCAATCAATTCCATCCAATCCAAGTCAAGCCATCCCCAATCCAATCTAAGCCAATCCCATCTGAGTCAATCCGATCCAAACCCATCAGATCAGACCTGATCCCATCCAATCCAATCCCATCCAATCGAATCCAACCCAACCCAATGCAAGCCAATCCAATCCAATCCAATCCATCTGGCAATCCTGTAAATGGGTCGATATAAGCAATTGTATTTGTGAATTGAATTATTAAATTTATAATTACATTCTTCTTTTATTTATTTATTTATTTATTAGAAGAAAATGTTGGAAGTAAATAAAAAAATAGTTAATGGAAAAGGGGAGCCCAGAAATGTATTTAGCCCCCCCCCCTCTTGTTTTAGGCTATGCACACTTGTGGAGTTTTGGATTTGGTCGTTCATACCTTTATGTGAAATAGATGCCTGGAGACATGTAAAGAATTAAAAAATATTTTTTTATCAAATACATTTTAACCTGTCTGTGCCCCTCTCCTTCCCCAAAATGAAGCAGTCAACTTCAACAGGCTTTTTGCTCGGAAACACAAATCACTGGCACTGAAGCACTCTAGTAGTATAATTTAGCAACATAACCATTTGACTATAAAAGTTGCAAAATATGCTACCAGAAAACTCCAACAATGGCCCTGACTGAATGGGCAAAAAGACAATGAGAGCATGTGATGTACAATAAATTTAAACTCGTGTATCTGTGGAATAAGTGATTGGTATTAATTAGGTATTTTTCTTCTCTGTAATCTGTTTAAAGGTTCGATATTTTTCTCTCTGCTATTTTTCTCTTATTCTCTACATTTTGCTATTTGATTATTGATGCTATAATGAAAACCAAATTGATAATAACTTTTTTAAAAGAAATCTATCAATGTGTTGTCTTTTCTTAGGTCCCTGGAAGACTCCACCCAATTAAATTAAAATATTGCCCCATTTCTAAAGAAGATCAACCTAGTCGTGGTGAAAGATTTAATGCTGCGCCCTACATACGGGTTTTACAACTAATTGATGATAAGTATCCCAGTAAGTATGTCGTCTCTTTCTGATGCATCATGATTCAAAATCTTATAAAATTGCCCTTTTTTCAGGTAAAACATTTATGAAACTCATATTTCTGACTAGTAAGCTCTCAGGAAAAATAATGTTTGTTAGAAGTTTCCCATATTAAATTATGATGGTCTTATTTATAAATACTTCTTAAATTTTGGAATTGTGGAATTGAAAGTAATGGAAAAAAGAACTATTCTTGGCCAATATAGAGCACATGGACAGAGTGCAAAGGGAACCTCCCCTCCTCCTGAAATTGTGAAAGAGGAGCTTCTTATCCTTACATGAGAAACCATCGTATTTCCATAAATGTATAAAGTCCCTTTCTTCTCCTGACAGTTTGGAAAATTATTACAAGACATGGCGAAAAGGCTCTCCAAACCATCTGTCAACCATGTAAATGATTCAACACAAAATCAATTGCATTTATTAATTATTTAAGTTCTAATTTATTTCTGTAGTGTGTTAATTATTAATTAACAAAGTATGTCGTATGTAAGTTGGCAAATTTAATAGAAAAGTGAGTCTAGATATTACTCGCACAACTTTTCTTGACTGATGGATTGAAGAAATATAGGTGGAGCAGAGGTATTAGTTACAAAATCGGTCTCTAGATTTTATGAAACAATGTCATTCTCTGGAGAACCAATCATGCCTTTGCAACGTTCTCAATAATTTGCGTTCTAACTTTCTCATGAGTTCGAGGTATCTCCAGTGATGGATCTCCACCTGCTTCAGTCATATATTGAGATTTTTTTTTTGTTGTTGTTGTTGTTGTTGTTGTTGTTGTTGAGAAAATCATGGACAGAAGTACTAGTCTTCAATAAATAATAGTGTCTATCTCGCCCACTTGAAGGTGTGTTTGGAATGTTGACATCAGTGCTCGCAGTGAGCTTTTGCCGTCAATTGTTTATTGTGCCTGGGACAGGAAAGCAAGGTCATCAGTCAAGAAAAGTTGCGCGATTAATATATATAGTTGCCCCCCTTCTTGTTTTGGGCTGCGCATGCCTATGTTAACAGATGATTTTAAAACACCATTTTTATTATACAGAGGATGAACGGGGTGATGTACTAATGTTCCTGAGTGGCATGAGTGAAATTTCTGCTGTAGTAGAGGCTGCACAAGAGTATGCTTCCATGACTCAGAGTTGGGTGGTTCTTCCACTCCATAGTGCGCTGTCATTAGCAGATCAGGACAAGGTAGGTAGGATACATGTGTAGAGTTTCTTTCCCATCCTATACATTTTTTGCATAAAAAAAGGGAACTTTTTAAAATCATTATTGCATAATGAATCAGATAAAAGATATTGCATGGTAATAACAATAATAATATGTGTGGCTTCCTTGTACTTTCGTTTCTATTTATCCAGTATTCACTCTTTTTCCCTCCTCTATCTACTTCTCTCTTCTCTCCCTTCCCCCCCTCTCTCTCTCTCTCTCTCTCTCTCTCTCTTGCGTGTTCTCTCCTTCCCCCCTTCTCTCTCTCTCTTGCATGTTCTCTCCCACTCTCTCTTTCACACGCTCGCTTGCTCTCTCTCTCGCGCTTGCTTGCTTGCTCTCTCGCACGCGCTCGCTCTCTCGCTCCACATTGCCACATGTGGAATAACTCTCTCCTTCATATAGTTTTTAATTTAATCATTTCAGAATAACCACTTGTTTTCATTTATCAGGTGTTTGACTACCCTCCAGAGGGATATCGCAAATGTGTAGTGGCTACAAATATAGCTGAAACATCTATAACAATTGATGGCATTCGTTTTGTGGTGGATTCAGGGAAAATGAAACAGATGAGTTTTGATCCTGGGACACGCATGCAACGCCTAAAAGAATTTTGGGTCAGTCAAGCAAATGCAGAGCAACGAAAGGTACCATTGATTTAAGTCACGTATAATTACCTGTATAATTTTATCAAAGATAAAGGAAAATATGAGCATATTTTGATGTGCTCATAGCACATCTGATATAAGATGCTAGAATATATCTTTCAGTACTATGTTTATGTGTGGAGGTATGGTTGCCAGAATGGCACTCAACATTGGTACAGGTCTCATTTTTGTTAAACTCTCTGAATTATCAATAATTGCAAAAGTTTTAAATAATGTGTGAAAGTATGTGCTGTTGGAGCTCCAGTAGTTGAAATGTTTTTTTTATAAAGTATGATGTGTTGATTGAGATAAAATGAAATTATATAATATTTTTTATCATATCTCATAAAATATGACAAGGAAATTCGATATACTCAACCTTTTCATGGAAAGAAAAACAGGAAAAGAAAGAAAAAAACGTTTCAGCATTTTTTTGTTACTTGGAGATATATCTCTCTTATACAAAATTTTGAGCCTCTTCCAATGTCAATTTTTCTTAATTTTCTAGAATTAGGAAAATGTGACAATGAGCCATTTTCATACAAACATAATAGACCTTTGATTGTATAAAAATGAATGGAAGAACACCATTGTGTAAATTGAAACATTAATTTCAGAAATAATATATTAATTTTTTTTGGAACAAATATGAGAGGATGAAAATATGTTTTCAGTGATTGAAGAACATTTAATAATCTGTCCTTTAATTGAACCTTCTTTTGAAAAGTGAATTTAAGGCATTTTCAAAATTTAGATGTCAAGCCAACACTTCAATTTCTATGATGGAGTGAGATTAAGGATAAGGTGCAAGATGGTGGGATCTGAAGTAAGGAATATGCTGGGGGTAAAATGTAAACACACAAAAAAAAAATTAATTTGAAGAAATTGTTATATGACTTTTATCTACAATACAAGAGAGTGTTATACTAGATTTTTCTATTTTAGAATGTCTTCATTTTCTCATGTTCAACGTGTTGATATATTACAATTGAAATTTTGTTCTCTTCACAGGGTCGAGCTGGTCGCACAGGGCCAGGAGTGTGCTTTCGTCTCTTCTCTGAAGAACAGTACAATGATTTAGAAGCATTCACTGAGCCAGAAATCCATCGGGTCCCTCTGGATTCTCTGATTTTACAAATGTTGGCATTGGGGCTTCCTGATGCTCGGCAGTTTCCTTTCCTAGAAGCTCCACCAGAAGGAGCCATAGAAGGTGCTCTTCTATCCCTGCAGCAGCAGGTAGAAATTGTAGTCCATTTAAATTAGTTGATGACAGTTGGAAGTCGGAAAGTGCTGTGATTGTATTTCTGTTGCATCCCTATCCCAATGTCTGTATTCCTGTATCTTGTAAAGAACAAGGTATTGAACATATCACAATGTAAATTTAATAATGGCAAGAAGCATCTTAAAACGGAGTGATGAAGAAGAACAAAAAGTGTTCCATACATGAATTTTTTTTATTTTTAATTAGTCTGTGATAAAAGACCAACAAAATCGCACAAAAGATGGATAATGAGTTACCTGCTGAAATGCCTGACTGAAATATGGAGGCAAATTTTTTCTTAAGCCTCAAATTACCATTTTCTTAGTGTTATTGAATATCATTTAACATTATTGAAAGAAGGAAATCTATTTTGGGAGATGTCTTATAGTGAAGTTGCTGCAGCACTTCTGCAACTGAAGATATGGTATTTGTAGCATTTTTGCATTACTGTATTTAAGATTTCATAATTTGTCCAGAATTCTCATACCTTAATCTTGGTTTGGATTGAGGATTGGTTGTACTGAAGGTACTCTAGAGATTTTACTGGGCAAGCCCCCAGAACAACCACAGCAATATCAATTAGATACAATTTTTGAGCAAGACATTACAGCATCAAGGAAATATTTGTCCTTACATTCTGTCCCTATTTGTTGACTCCATGAACATGGGTGTCTTAAAGTTTCTGTCTTCATTCTCCTGACTGTGATGTGTGTTCAGGGAGCACTCTCTGAGGAGGAGCAACTGACACCCATGGGCAAGCTGCTGGCTGCCTTGCCTGTGGACGTGGCCCTAGGAAAGTTGTTGCTGGCTGGTTGCCTCTTGCATCAGCAGGGGCCTGCACTTGCTCTGGCAGCTGCACTTAGTGTGCAGAGCCCCTTCAGTGGCCGAGCAAGTCGTGATCCTGATATTGAAGTAAGACACAGTATGTTTAAGGCATTTAAACATAATGTAATACTAGTAAATGAAGAAGAAAGGTACTAGTTGGTTTCTTTATAAGAAATTCCCATTGTCATACATGCAATTTCTCTTTGAGAAATCTACTCATTCTCTTACTTATATTTAATGATTCTTAAAAAAGAATATGGGTGGCATTTATCCAAAATAAAATAAGCTCTAAAACAACAATTGTTCCAGTTAGTTTTCATGATTATTAATGTGCTTTTCTTTCTTTTAACATTTTAACATTGTATGCCTTCAGGTTTTCTTTTCATGTATTATTGCATATTGTTTATTTATCATCAAAAAACAATATGTGATATATGGGGAGGGGGGGTCACACATTTCTTGAGCTCCACCATTCTTACCCTTTCAGTATTCTATCACAATTGAATTATTAATAAAGGTGGTAATAATTAGTTAACAAAATTTGATATGAAAAAATGTTAGCTTCTATGTAAAGATGCATCAGCAAATAAATTACAGATATGATTTAAAGATCCTGCTCATGAGATAACTATCACATACTCTCACCATTTGGCCAAATGGCAACTCAAGAAAATTTATGCTAGTAATGAAGTTTTATTTACAGTTCAGAAGTAAAGCAATAGTCATGTCAGTATTTGCTTAGTGGATCTGGGTGAAACTGGGTGAGAAATCTGATCTAGACGAGGGTCATTGTCTCAGAAATTTGGTGATTACAGATTAGATGAATGAATGAGAGCAGTGAACAATAATAAAACAAAACCAATAATTATATTTGTGTTTTAATAAAGTTTATGTTTTGTAATTTCATCGGTTTTGTCATGCATGTTTCAAACCTCTCTTTGCTTTTATGCCTAAAACAAAATTAATTTAGAGATTTGGCAGATTCCTTTTATTGATCCTCCAAGAATTAACACAATATATTGTAATACTTTACCATGGACTTTAGGCTGCTCGAGGTGAGCTGGAATCTGACCATGGTGATCCTCCTGCTTTATTGGCAGCATTACGAACATGGTTGCAAGAGAAGCAGCAGCCAGGTTCTGGTGCCCGCCGCTGGTGTAAACGCCTTGGATTGGAGGAGCAAAGGTTTTTTGAAATGGTTAAGCTGCAGCGCCAATTTCGAGATTTATTACAGGTTAGAATTTCATTAAAAAATATACATCAAATTTGTATGTATATTTTTTAGTATGCATCTAAAAAGTACTATTTAAAAGTTTTGAATAACCAGAATACTAATTACAATGTGCATAAGGCTGTTTAGAAGTGTGAATGATTATTCTTTTTAAATGGTGTTCACATGGATCCAGAAGCATTAAAATCTCATCAAGAAATTGATGTTAGTGACTGAATTTCATTTCTGGACAGTTGTTCCCATGTTACATGATATCAACAGGACGTGGGCTTGCTGAATGAAGATAGATCAACATCAACGCCTTCTACAGCAGCTGAGCGTGCAATGCGTCATGGTGAGATGAGGCTTTTGCATAAGCTACGCCGTGAACAGCGAGCTGCCGGGCCGAGGAAACGGCGTCGTTTGCGTGCAGACACATGGCAGCTTGCCACTGGGGAAGATGAAGAAGAACCGGATCATGATGCAGATGTGCGAGATGTGGAATTTCGTTTGAGTCACTCAGGATCTCAGCTTCAGGTGTGTTGGCAATTACATTGCTCCCCTGTGGATCTGTCCCTCTCTACCCCCTCCACCCAATCTCTGACTCTCTTCCTCATTCTCTCTTTCTTCTCATTTCTTCTTATCTTCTCCTTCTCACCCTTTTATCTTATCACTGTTTGCAAATATCGACATTTCAAGAATGATTGCAATAGATAATCATATTGATGACTTATTGATGAGTGTTATTATTAAAAATGAGAATTATTGATTAAAGTGTAATGCATGTTTCATATTCATGTGGTCTCCTTTTAATGTGCTTAAAGTAGTTCCTAACATAACATAAGTTACACCCATTCCCATAAAACATTAGTGGAAATGAGCAGCGCACCAAAACCGTTCCTCCTCTTAGTGTTATTACTCAACATTAAGTCAGATTTTTAAAAAAGTGCATGACATAATTTAATGATCTACATTTGAATGAAGTTACACAGAAACAACTAAGCCAGAAGAATCAATATGGTTCAAAAATGGCATGGAGCATTGGGACCCAGTCAGTAAAAAATTGCTTGAATTACTCACCAGAAAAACAGGACACCATAGAAATAAGATTTGTATCCTTTCCTGGGAAATCATTATCTGAGGAATGGTTATATGCCCAGGAGAAGTTTTTAATAATTATTGCTTTTGGGATATTGGAGAAGAATACTTTTCTGTAAACAGAGGAACAGTTGAATCTGTTCACACTATAACAGAAAAATTATTATGAGAACATTGTACACAGCTTTCTAGTAAAAGGCTTTAAAGTGAAAAATTTAATATTCAATAACTGTTTCCAGAATCTGTTGGTGGGTGCAAGTGCAAACTCAGCTGCTGAACTTGGGCTGTTGAAATTGTTGGTGGTGAGTGGACTTTATCCACAACTGGCTGTAGCTGATGAATTCAATGCCTCCAAGGTATTTTTTTTTTCTTTATTTTGCCATTTGGAACCTGTAATTTTTCTTTTACCTGCTTTTCATATCAGAAATTGTGTCTACAACCTCCTTTCCTTCATAAACGTTTTTAATTTAAAATTAACAACAGTTAGTCTTTTAGAAATGTTTGGAGTAAAGGATCATATAAATTTGAAATTATAATTTGTTGGCTAGTCTGTTTCAGAAATGCTTTTTCATACAAGTACCAAGCCTTTCGTGGCCTTGCACCCTATGTCTTATTTTGGACGTCACCCTCAAGTATTGCAGCTATCAGATGCAGATGTGGAGGCTCCTGCTCGATCTCAGGGTCGGCTGCCATTGAGCTCCAAGCACCAACTTCTTTGTTACATGTCAGTGAAATAGGTTTTGTTTTCAATTTGCAATTCCAACTACTTGGTCTTACTGTTAAAGCTAAGTTGTTTCTAAAGTTTGAATTTTTTAGATTGAAGATCACAAATTCTTATATCAAATCAACATCTCTATGTTAATTTAGTTTTGCTTGTTTTACTCTATTAAAAGAAAACTGATTATGTGTAGATTACATATATTGATCTAGTTTTGACTTGTTACTTTTCTTAAAACAACTCATTGAGAATATAATTATATATTCTTTTTATGATTTCTTTGTTGAATACACAAGTGTATTTTTTGTTGTTGCATTTTTGTAGTCATTGCATTCTTGTTTCAGGTCATTGTTGGAAACAACAAAACCCTACCTAATGAACACATTACGGATACCAGCAGCTCAATCTCTCTTGTTATTTTGCCAAAACCTAGATACAAGTCTTGACTTTTCAAGGTGATTAGTGTTTTGATATGGGATATTAACATTCTTGTATATTGTTTGTGTTTAAATAATCTTAAGGTAGTATGTTCATTAGATCAAACACGGTGAAATATTAAAAAAAAATACTTTAAATGAAAGAAAAATCCCAGTTTTCAGGATGGTAAAATCTCTCTTATATATTATAGATAACACACAAAAAAATTTTCAATCTACACAATTTTTGAAAAATTAGGGATTCCAACAAAAATGAGACCTGCCATTCTTTTAAAAGTACAATATCCAAGATTAATCAAAAAATTTTGGTGTCTTTTTGAGAAAATTTTGAAAATGTAATTGAGGATTAATTTAAATAAAAGTTAAAATATCTGCAAGGTCCCAAGTGCTTTTAAATTGATCAGGGCATTTTTGGAGAAAATTATCTGAACAGTTTAGGCACTTGCACAAAAAGATGAAAAAGTAAAATTACATTCAAAATACTAAGTAATTGACTGTACATCTGTATTCTTATCATTTCCTTTTGCTAACCTACTACATTTTTTGTTGTTGTTCTGTTTTTTATTATTTACAGTTTTTATCTAAACAGTAAATTTTACCCATAACCTTATGCAACTGAACATCTCTGCATGCCTATTGTCAATCTAATCTTATTTTTTTACTCCTTTCTTCCTTTACCTCCAACCCAAATAAGACACAATCAAATGAGGCGAATTAAGTGAAAAGAATTCTGGAGTTTTTAAATTGGCATGATTGTTCATTGCTTCCTACTGCACATTATACTCAAAATTCCTGAAGTGTTAGGGGTGAGCCGGGGATTTTAAAGGTTTTTAGGTTTTTGCATGTATCTCCATAACTATTAATCATACAAAATATATGTTCTCTACCAACGTAAAGAAGACAACACTTTTTACAGAAAAGGTCCTTTAAGATTTTGTTGTAAACTTAACCCTCTTTTAGTTATAGGTGTGAAAAGTTCTTGTTTTTATTTACAACAAGGTCCTTTTTTTAATATCTCCCTTTTAAAAAAGATTTGATGTTCAATGCAACGAAGTAATTGTATTTTTACATTTATCAACAATGTGTATTGCATATTTTGCTAAAAAAATATGAGCATGTTTCACATCAAATCTAATTTTGTACTTGTTAGTATCCAAGGTTATTGGGTTTCAGTTTACCTCGGGTATGAAAACTGATAATTCATTGCTCATATTAAAAGGATTGAGTACAAATATTTGGTAAAGAAATTTGTCCCACAAATACATAAAACAAAGTCGGGTTAGTTATGCCATTTATAACTCAAGTAAGCTGGACCAATTTTAATTATATCTTATTTGTTGGATTCATCTCCGCCCCGAATAGCAGAATAACAATTAAAATACTAGAAAAATTGACTTGATGGCTCTATAAAACAAAACAAAATATTCATATCAAATGCAAACCGCAACACACTCGAGATTTTTTAAATCTATATCATTAAATAGCTCCTAAACAAAGTGTTCTAGGGGATTAGAAACTATAATTTTGAGACCTTAAAGGCCTCAAAGAAACATTTCTCACGCCGTAATCTACAGGATGAAATCTTTTTGTACATTCCTTGTTTTTGCTAGTCTGGCACTTCTCAATATTACCCCACCTGCTCAAAAAAATGCAGAATCTGCAACTAAATGTGTATGAGACACAGTCAGGCAGATGGGAGAGAGAAAGAAGGAGAAAGGGAGAGGGAAGGAGAAAGAGGGAGATGAAGAGCAGAACGTCTGGCAGGTTCTGCTAGTAAATCATATAAAAATACAACATAAGAGTACAAATATCATAAATAGAATAATCTTATTTACCACATAAGTAGAGGGACAACTAAATCTGATAGTGTCCTTGACGAACTGGACACTCAAAGCTTGATGAGATTCAATGATTACAAAAAGCCCTATTTTTTCTCATTTTTTTAAATGCTTTTGTCATGAAATATACAATGTACATGCCCTGAAATTATTGAATTTCAGTGAGAAGCAATGTTGAATGCTGAATGATGACAACCAGATCCATTTCTCAAACAATCCATGAGAAGTGAAGAAACAGAATATGACATTGAAACAAAAGCTCAGTTGCACAAAAGGAAGCTTCCTGACAATCCAAGATGAAAAAAAGCGTGTCAAATTCAATTGAAGGTTCCGCTCATAGTTTTCATCCACTTCAACACCATAGAGCATCGTGAGTTCTTGCCACCAGGTTATAGAGTCAATAAGGAGTATTACTTAACACTGTGTATATGAAGCACTCTAAAGAAAACGCCATGTGTGATGGCAATACAATTCCTGGCAGTTGTGGCATGATAATACACCTGCTCGCACTTCACTACTTGTTCGACAAATTGTAGCCGAAAACAACTCTGTTTTGATGCCTTAGGCTCCCTATTCGCTGGACTTGGCATCCTGTTAGTTTGTCTTATTCCCAAAATTGAAGAAATTCTTGAAAGGACGAGGTTTTGCCAAAATAAAACAAATAAAAGCTGAATCACTGAAGAATCTAATCATCATACCAAAAACTTCAGAACTTCTTCAAAGACTCGGAAAATGCTGTCTTAAATGTATTATAAAAAAAACTATTTTAAGACAACAAAATCAATATTGATAAATGTATGAATATTTTTTGAGAAACTTCACTGCTTGTTCGAGAAAACAAGTTTCTGTGTACTTATTGATTGTAAGATAAGATTTGAAACTAATTAATTGCAAAATGGTTGATGCCATTATCAATTATAAGAACTTTGGGGCTTATCAATTCCATAATCCCCTTGTCAAACATTGAGTGTGTCATTCATCATTAACACACTGTTTTAATTGTCTCTCAAAGAATGCGGTAAATGAGATTATTCCAATTACAATATTTGTACTCATATATTCTTTTATATCATTTATATTTTGACACAACAAGAATTGTTTCACAATTCTTTTCCAAATATTTTTACTCAGTCCTTATCAATTTAACTATGGATTAGCAGTTTTCATGTTCAAGGGAATCTCAGACTCAATTACCATGAATACTCGCAAGCAAGTACAAAAGCAGATTTGATGTGAAAAATATTCACGATTTTTTTAGAAAAATATGCAAATATACATTATTGATAAATATTGAAACAAAAATTAAAATTACTTTTGTGCATTGAACATTTATAATCATCACATCTTTTTTATAAGGGAGATATTTAAAAAAGGACCTTGCCGTATATAAAAGAAGGTCCTTTTATATATAGCTAAAAAATTGTTTACTTTACAACAAAATCTTAAAGAAACATTTTTGTAAGATATTTTTTGACTTTATTTTTATATAGAGTATATATTTTAGTAAGATTGATGGTTATGGGAATATATGAAAAAAAAACTAGGGAAAAAAACCTTTAAATGGTCCCCTTTCCCCATCTTGCTTCCCACACTTGAGAATTTTTAGTGTATGGTGGTAGATAGCAATGAATAATCATGCCAAGTTTCAAAACTCCTAGATTTTTTTCCTTCAATCACCAGTTTTTGGTTTAATTTGACTGGGCTGTTAGTTCCTCACTGTTATTGGCTTATCCGTAAGTGATTTGTCACTTGTTTTCTCTCGTTATGCACGCCTCATTCCTAAACTTGAAGGCAAACACTTGATTTTTATTCATTCTTGTCAAAAAAACAATAAAAACTGTGTGTGATGTATAGGAAAAACTACAGTATGTGCATGTTTTCTTGAGCCTTACACTGCATATGCATCCCCTATTGCTTATTTCACTGAATTCTTTAATGGGTTTGTTGCTTTTTTTGTCATTTATTATTTTTAATGTTTATTATTTTAATTTCTTACATATATGTTCCCTTGTGTTGCATTTTTTTTGGCTTTTTTCTTTTCTTTTCTGAATTGGAACATTTTTCACAATTTGCCTTTGACATTGACATCTCACAATACATAATTCTTCCCTTTCAAATTCCTGTTTTTTATCTTAAAATCGATATTGTAATGATCTTCTAGTTACGAGCAGAGTGTGATTTTTACTTGTTCTAAGACACCCCCTCTTCTCAGCATTACCAACCTAGAAATAGCTATGGCAACAAGGATAATAGGGATGAAAAAGCATGAAGTAAACAAAGATATATAACAGATTTATGGATACTTATTACAGAAGTAGCACACAATTCAATAATGTGTAATGTTTGTGTGGAGCACACTTACAGGATCCACGAGGTGAACAGACATGTGAATGATATATTTTTGAAAACAGTTCAGAGGTACTGAAATGTTGTGCTCAGCAAGGCAAGCAGTAAATAAAAGTGTTCAATGTTGACAGCTGCAACTGTCTTCCTCCAAGACTTCACATGTTGATTTTCTCTCATGAAAATTTTCAAAAGGAATAATTTGTAGTTCAAGCTGTGAGTTTTGTCGCATAGAAAGGTGTACCACAGTTTCATTGGAACAAGGTTTTGATTCACCATCAAGCCAATGGCAGTCTGGTCCATTGAGACAATTGCCCGTAGCTGCATTGAATTGAAACTTGGCATCTTCAAAACTCAAATATGCACAGGAAACCAAGAAGTGAAACCAAACACAAAATACCTACAAATTTGCAGTACATGGTAAAACAGCAAGTGAATATCAACATCTTGTTGGTATCCTACATGTTGCACAAGAAGTGGGGGTAATCTATGAACAAGTGAATGCCACACTCCGCTCATAGCCAGTAGATTACTAGAATACCTGTTGAAACATCTTCTGCAGAGTGGTTTGTGATGAATGGCTGGAGCTCGAGTTCTCAGCTCCCCCTTCTGCTGCCATGTTGCTTCACCGTGTCAGCCAGTTGCGCATGCAGTGGATTCGCCTATTGGCCCTCAAACTTGATGGTAAGTCTGGATCAAAAGAAATGGTCTCAATGCACAGTATATGGATTACAATAAGGGAGCAGTGAGCATGCTGTTTTTCATTTTTTGAAATGTTGGATTTCTTTTCCATTAGTGAGTTGAGTAAAATGCAATAAAAGGTAAGCCAGTGTTATATTCCCAAAACATGTTCTCAAGAAGTACAGTCTCTCTGATATAATTCTTGTGTGTTCTAGAGGAAGAAATTGGTAGAAATATCTGACTGAGCATGTTACATGACTGACAACAATAATCAACAACAAATTTGCAGCATGAGAATTTTATGTTTTTCAATTCCATGTAATCTCGTGAACATGAAAATAATACTAAATATCACCTGTTGGTACAAATTCTTTCTGAGGGTGTCTGCCAGAAAATCATGTTTCCCCCACTGTCTGTGGTCAATATGAATGACTGAATGTTTATGTTACTTATCTTGCATCCTGAAAATCAGCAAGTCCATGAGCATTTACTAAACGTGTTAGGTGTTAAGAATATTCTCTAAGTATGCAATACAAACCGTGCAATAAAGAGTTTCTTAAAATGAATGTCAATAGATTAATTTTTTTTTTATAAGATATCCTGTATATAGATTTTTTTGTCATTAAATAAAATGAATTACTTTTTATTTTCCAGTTGTAAGTCGCCATCAGAAGCAGAACTCTGAAGACGAGCAGTCGGAGAGTGAGACAAGTGCAGTAATGCCATCAGCAGATGCAGATGCTGAAGCTGCACGTCTTTCAGCGCATCTAGCAGTAGAGCTTCCACGACTACTACATGTGGACATTTCTTACTCCATCTCTCGGCTTTTGGCTGCTGACCGTAAAGTGTTGTTTGTGGGCCCTGGAGTCAACAATTCAACTATTGAACCCAATCCTTTCCTGCCAAAGGAAACAACAATTAAAACTGAATTTCAAGTTCAGCCGCATCCTCGGAAAGGAGGCATGCGTGTAACACCATTCCTGACATATGGTTGGTGAGTGCAATTACTAATTTGCAGTTCTTTTCATTTATGATTTTGGGGGTAAAAAAAGGAGAGAATATTTATTTCAGAATATACTTTCAATAGGAAATAAACATGTTTTTGTGTATTTTGAGTATATAATTAATGTATGGGGTTGTGCTGAAAGTTTTTAGCAGAATTAAAAGAAAGAAATTTATTGATAATCTAAATTTGATGAACCAACATTACAACAATGCACCATGTACAGACAACTCCCGAAGTGAGCTAAGGACAATGATACATATATTTCGGCAGCAACCTCTAAAAACACTGCTGAACACAAGCAAGGGGCCATATGTACGTATGTGCTTCAAAGGAAAACTCAGAGAGGCTGGGTGGATATGTTTGCATAGTTGCCTGCCACTCGCTTTGGGTGTCATCTGTACTCAGTGCGACGTAATGATGGTTCACCTCATGAACCCTATATTTGTTTTTTCAAAATATTCTCCATTAGTCAGTGTATGCTTTTCCATCCTTTGAAACCACTTTGAAAAAGAGACCTCCATGTCTCTTCAGAAATTATGAATTCTGCACCAATGTAGGCTTCCACAGCTTCATCAGAAGAAAAAGCCCTATCCTCAGTGTTTCCTTGGTTTGTGGGAACTAAAAGAAATCACATGGGGCCAAGAGAGGCAAATAAAGTGGATGAGGAAACAATCGCACACATTTGTTGATAAGAAAATCAATTGTTCTAACAGCCATGTAAGAAGGAGCATTGTCATAGTGCAGCATAATGTGACCATATTTAGACTTTGGTTGCTTTGATACCCATGTTGTGTTGACCTTCGGCAAGCATCGTGTCACATCCCATTCAGCATAGTGTGTTGGTGGCCTTGGGTCACAGTCAACAATTTTCTTGTCACAGCTGTGTCCCCTAGGTAGGCAGGTCTGGAAAGCACCAAACACTTGGCAGTTGTTTAGTTTCCAGCTCATGGTGGTCATTTCATCACTGGTTATGAAGTTGTAAACATCCTTAGTCCACCCTACATCATATTTATTGAGCATGAATTTCCACCAGACCTCCCTGGTGGATTTTCACTCCGTCAATGAATGTGGCACCCAACAAGCATATCGCTTGGTCAAATGTCTTGTTAAAGAGCTAATTGTTGATGCACAATGGTTTGTACTGCAGTTAACCCAATGTTTGTGTCTGTTCAATATTGGCAAATGTCAGGTGTGGGACTTCTGCCTCCACTCTTCTCACTGCATTGATGTTTTCTTTTGTCACTAACGTGGCTTGGCTTCAAGATCTCAGTTCATCTTCCAGAGATGCTCTTCCTCATGAAAATCGTTGAAAGCAATTTCCAGTTGTCACTTTAGAAGGAGCACACTTCCCAAAGATATTTGTCGCGGAATGTGGCATTCCTCAGTATGTACACTCCTTTTAAAAATCATGGCATGAAAATCAAAGCACGAAACTTCTATCGCAGAGGGCAGCAAGTTTGAAACAAAGGCATTTTCATCCCTCCCTTCACTTCAGTCAGCCATCTCAGGTCATCACCTGGTTGGGTTCAAGGCCACAATGGAGTAACCTTTCAGGCACTGCTTACCCAAACTCCCCAGAATCCTCCTAAAGACACTGCTAAAAACTTTTGACATGACCTCGGTGAGTGATTGTTTTGTTAAAAGCCTTATTGAACAAATTTTGTTCAATTCTTTCATGTAGCAAATAGAATTAGGGATTGTTTTAAAAGAGAGATTCAATAAAAGACAAGTGTAATAATATCTTGTAATAGATATGCCATAAATGAAATGTAATATCCGTTAAAATCTTGTTTGTTTAGAAGGTGAATTGTAAGAAAAAACATATTTATTATATCTCATTGTGAAATAGGAAATGCCTTTTCAAGTACACTAAACTAAAGTTCAACTATCAAGTAAAAAGAAATGCATGAACTGTTAGTTAATATCTATGAATGATATCATATTGAGAATGCATTCATTTATTTGTTAGCCTAGAAGATGCAATAGAGGACCCTCCTCCTTTGGAAGAGTGGCATTGTGAGCTCTGTGACTTTATGGGGGTTCTGCAGCCACTACAACAGCTGCAACACCTCCACATGTGCCAGCCTAGCAAGGAAGAGCAGCAAAGTAAATAATTTTTGTCTTTGTCTTAAGAATTCAACAAATTTCTGAAAATGTTTTTGGTAATGTTTTCTGTATTTGATTATAACTGATTAATGAGTTTTGAAACTTTTTTGTGTGTATATTGCAAATGAAATTTATTTTTGGATTGGGGAAAAGGATTTAATGTAAAATGAATTATATACACCAATGACAAATGTTACAAATTATTCACATTTCTAGAATCTGAAAATTCAGAAGAGAACAAACAGAGTAGACCAAATGCAGAGAACCATCAATGTCCAATCTGCAAGAAATACTTGCAAGTCTCTGCTATAGAGCTGTTGAGGCATCGAAGACAATGTGCAGCCAGAATTGATGCAGATCAGGTAAATAGTGGCACAAAAATTATGTACCTAACACATAATTTTTTCCAGTTTAAGTTTTTCACATAATTCATGTCTTCTCAAGATAATTAAGAGAAGAAATTTAGGAATATTTGGGACAGTTGATTTCCAGTAATCCTTGCAATTTTGATAGAAATTCTTATGTATAGATGTTCAATTTTTGAGTGGAGATGACATGTGTGCTGTCTTGTTCAGGTTTTAAGGGGCTGAAGATTTATTTTTCAACTGCGAGCCATCACTGTATTTTAAAATCATATCATATTGTTAGCATAGAAAGAACTGTTCCTTCACAGTCAAAATCACAAATGATGTGTTCAAAGTCCCTAAACTAATGGTGGCCAACAAGGAATTCATTGGAATGTTGAATTGAAAGGGGTGTACATTGAGCATCTCTTTCATTTCTGTGCTGAAACATTTTGAAGTTCCCCACTCATTTGATCTTTACAAGATTGTTTTATTTTCCAGAAGGACAAGAAGAAAGAGAAATAGCGGTGAGGCAAGCAAATTCTCACAAAGGTAGGCAGATGCAGTATCCCTTCTCTGCCCATGAAGTAACACTACTGATGGCCACCATCATACTGAAGCGGATGGCTATTGGTGTCTATTAGGTTCCTGCTTCTTTGAGCACCACCACAAAGCTTTCTCCAGACATTTGACCAGTGTTTTACAGGGTGTAATACAAAAATGTTGTGAAAAACTGGTGTATTTATAAGACTTTCAGGAGTTCAACAACTGGAGTCAAATTATGCTCTTTGCCACCAGGAAAGGTCATCAAAAATTGGTCAAACATTTAATAATAATTGTGTCGTCTTCTTCTCAACTAGAATATGCCATTTCCTGTGATGCATTCTTCCTCTGAATAACTTCCCAGAATCACTGTTAAATAATCAGTCAATCTATACTCTTATCATCTTTCCTTGATAACAGCTGGATTATATTAGCTGTTTGGTAGATACAGCTTTTCTTTCTGACAGTAGACACTTTCTTTTAGAAATGTTCAGTGAGAATTGCATAGTTGTTTCCGTATCAAACAAAACTAAAAATAAGATTTTGAAGTTTTATTTAGTTATTGAAATTACTGTATAATCAGTGTGACTTATAGGTCCAGGTCTATGTGTGAATGCCAGTTCTAGATTTCCATAAACATTGATTCCATTTAAATTGAAAATATCAATCTGAAGATTAAAAATGTTCCAGAAAACAAATTAGGAATGCTTGGAAGGCACTCAAGAGAATCAATGGAGACAAACAACATAATAACTTCAATTTATTAGAGCTTTTTAAAATGTAAAAAGTTTGTAATTGAACTGTTTAACAGCTACTGTTAAATGTTTACGTTACATCATTAGTGTAAAGTATCTGGAGGAATATTGTAAATATTTTGTCAATAAAAAAAAAAAGATTTTGAAACTAAATTTAATTTTATTCATTGCATACCATAATATTTATTATATTTCTCACATTTGCAATACATACAGTAATTATTATATTTTTTCCCAGTTTATCCATTTACAATTGTGCTGCATCACTATGCATTATTGTTTGTAGCATTGAGTTAACAAGCTTGTTCTATACTTTGTTATAAAAAACATCAGATGAATTATTATTTTCTGTGAGTATATTATGTAATTCAACTAGACAGTAATTGAAGAAATCAATTACATTTTTAATTGGTTTAAATGCAATATTCACAGAAAGATCTAAAAAGTTTAACTATATAATATTGAAGAAATTATAAACTTTCAGGTAAAATTTCTAGTAATTTTCTCATAAAGAATTTCAGTCAAAGACACTGATTTTCATTAAAATATTGATTTGATCAGTTTGTTGTCAATGAATGGCATTTCAATTGGATTTTCCATTTACTTTCTCATATATTTTTGGATGGTAAATGCTTCAAAAAGTGGAGGTTGAGATTTTGACTGAAATACAAGTGTTGAGGGAAAGATTTGTTTTCTTTTTTCCAAAAATGTTTTGTCTGTCTGTCCGTTTGTCTCTCTGTTGGACAACACTGGTACCTGAATCATTCATAGGATTTTCGCGAAAATGAATTTTCTTCCAAGAACTGACCACAATTTAAGCCATGTGAATTTGCAACATTTTAATTTACCTTTCTCAATACTATAAAGTATAGAGAAATTTACATAATGCTATGGAAAAAATACTGATTTTTGACAGAAAAAGTTTTTCTGCAGATCTCTAATATTTGTACACAGTATATTATTTCCCGCTACTTTTCCTCTCCTTCGCTCCTTTCTCCTCTACAATCAAAATCTGTCTTATGGATTTTGCCAGTAAATGATATTATTACTTTGTTCAAATGTAGCAAAGTAAACTTATAAAAATGATACCAATTTCAGTAAAATATCTGAATTTTTGAAATTTGCAAATTTAATATTTTTAAAAAATGCCAGTGTATGTTGTGGTCAAGTTGTACTGGTGCTTCATAAACAAGAAATAATAATGTTCCTAAAACATAATACATTACATCAGAGTAAAACACACAATATTGGGCTAACACAAAAGATTTCTTTCTTCATCATATCTTGCTTCTATTTCTTCTTTCTTCTCTTCTACTTCTCCTTTGTCTCCTCCTGTTCCTCCTCTGTGTCCCAACTAAAATTAATATTGCAAGATAATAGCTAGAGTCACTCCAACAGGAAATTATGAAGTCTGTAAATGTCAAACAGATTGCCTTATAAAACAACCATTATTATTATTAAACAATTGTTTGCTGGAATAGAGCAGTTTGTTTAATAATATGGCTTGGGTTCAATCTTCATTAAAACCTGTAAAATTTTTAAAATTCCTCAAGTTTAACTTTCTTTTAAACATTAGCATTCTTATACATTAGCAGGGCTTGATGGTGTGATGGATAAGATGATTGCTTGCCAGTTCAAATCCCAGCCTCGACAAATATTTTTGTGGGGCCAACTAGTATTATAATTTTAAATAATCATTACAAATAATTCAAGTAAACATATGCTATAGCAGCACTGCTAGGTTGGGGGTACTTCAAAATTTTCTCAAAAATGGCTTCAAAATATTTTGCTCAAATAAAGCAAATCTGAGATACATGTATTATCTACAGAACATATTTATCAATTCTTACTCCGTATGGTAAGTGGAAGGCATTAGTCGCCATGCTTGATTTAACCCCCCTCGGAAACGTCTCAACAAACCCAAATAAATGGCTTCACTAGACCTATGCAAATCTGTTTTTCAAAATTAATTTCCCATCAGGAAATCCTGTGCATGCATTGCAAGTTACGGGCTTCCTTGTGGGTAAAGAGCACGTCACTGCAAGTGCTGGAGTATACGTATCATTCTCGTCGGGCAGTCTAAATCGTTACTAAATTTAGAAAAAGCAGACAATGATTATGAAGATACTGACAAGTGGAAAAATAAAATGATTTAAAGTAACGGCTAAACCATTATTAAAACGCTAGCGGCTGAACCGTTAGGCCGATTTTCTCCAAAATTGATATTCCTCAATCGATCTGGCTAATTTTGTAGTCCCTTGAATTTGAAGCCAATATTTTAATTTTGGAGGGTACTTTACATGAAGCCCCTGGGACATTTTCTAAATAAAAAGAAAATAGCTCCCTCATTTTTGATTAAACTTTGTAGTTAAATAGTGTGAACGACGTTTTAAAAAATGGTGTAAGTTCTATGTTGTTTGAAAGCTCTAATATTTCAAAAATTGAAAAAAATCGAAATATTTTCGATGTCTTCCTACATCTACAATTATGAAGGTACAAATTTTTACTCTCAATAAAATCTGTTCCTTCAAGATAGATTTTCAAATAATAGCATGTACAATTTTTCGATAATTTAGTATTCGAGTATTTAGCTCATAATTTTGCGTGAAATATACGCAATTTTTAATTTTGTTGAAACATTTATTTTCGCAAAAACATAATTTTGTATTAAATTGTGTTGTTGGATAGTCTGAAGAACGGTTAAGAGAATGGTACAGGTCTGTTGGTTAAAAACCCTAATTTTTCGAAAATTGAAAAAATTCACAATTTTTTCAGTCTTCCTACAACTACAATTATGAAAATACCTTTTTTTTTTGAAATGTGTTTGTCAATTACAGATCTTTAAATAAGGTTAATTTTTAAAAAACATAAGTATTTTTTGCTAAATTTTGTCTCAAACATACGCAATTTACAACTACAAGTTTGAAGATAAAAGTTTTTTCGTAATGAAATATGTTCATCGAAAATAAATATTCAAACAAGGCTATGTTGAATATTTTGCAAATTGGCAACATAGTCGCTCTCTGCGAATTACTGTGCTTCGTGAACGTAATTCCAGGCAGTTGGATGCTTCGTATATTAGAATTTGTATATTACTTCATATTTCTTTGTTTGTATCTTACATTCGAGCTTTTATTATACATTTACAAATTCATATTTTAGAAATTATATAAATCTATTTAAAACATACGAAATAAAAATTGCTTTCCTTCAGTGGGTATCAGATTGGAATGCAACAATGGCCCGGCAACAATGACTCGGGTGCTCATTTATGAGAATTACGTCTTATTGTTGGAACAAGATTTACCTGAAAGAAAAGCAGTCATAATTATCAAATTTGTATTGATATTTGCTTGAAAATATTTAATTTTTGCATCAAATGTTCTACGGTTTCTAATGAGCTTTACAAAAAATGAAGACTGATATGTCTAAGTTCGGAGAAAATATTGTGGTATAATTAGTATTATATAGGTATTATACTAAAGGCGAGAAAGTACGTGCTGTTTTTTAGCACTACTAGTTTTTTGTAGGGCAATATTATAAACGACCTATTGAGCGGCAAGAAATCGTTCATAAAAGGGAATTTTACGGCACTTAATATGACGTATTAGCATTTTACGGCATGAATGATTGCGCCATCACACACATTTAGCCAATCGTACAAGAAAGTTGTGGGCTGGTAGCGGCAAACGTAACAGCCGACCACCGTTTTTTCCCACAGATGTCAAATATCCGAGACTTCACTGTTCCGCAAAATTAATTTGGATTCTCTTATAAATTAAAAATGCTGTTATACAAAAAATAGCGTATGCAATTCGTTTATAATGTTACATTCATTACATTCGCACAACGAAAACTCGCTTCTAACGTCGTTCGTTCTCAAAACATGTACTCTTGCAATAAAGCTTCAAAATATAAACTAAACTAAATGCCTAAACTACTATTATTAAGCAACCTTCTTGACATCTATGTGTCACATATTTTCATCTGCAATGGCAATGCTATACAATATTACCTGCATTGAGAGGCAAAAATGAAAGAGAATATGAAGAAAAAGAACAAAGAGAAGTGAAAAGAAGAAAACAGAATGGCACGGATTTTCTTGTATTGGCTAATTTCTGGGCTAGCAGTACGGACTTGCCTCATACTCTAGCCAGCTACCATATGTCGCCGCCTGAAGTTCAATTTTTAAAATTCTCAATTTCTTATTTTCCTAATAATAGAACTGAAATATTACTGTAAGAATATTATAGAAGGGTAAAACCAAGTTCAATGTGGAGATTTTCGTTGAAAAATTGGGAGTAAATATTAACAACATTAGAGAGATATCAAATAACTGCATTTGTGTAATTTCTGAACAAACAAAATTATAGAGTAATATGGCGTTTATGCCATCTTATAGAGTACTTTTATCACTATCCCTACCAAAATGTTAAAGCTATTTCCGCGAAAATCTGGTTTCTATTCTTTTTTAATAGTGCACGTATTGCAATATTGCACAAAAGCTACTAAATGTAGAAAAATCACTGCATGATCTTAATGAAATAACAACGGAGAAAAAAATGCCTTGAAGGAAAAATCTCTATCTTCAATTTTGTAATATTAGGAATAAGCCAAAAAAATTAAACTTTTGAAATTTTCGAAAACTCAGAGTTATCAGTGAAAAAGGAACCAATGCCATCTTTATAAGTATATTTTACACTATTCTTTGACAATAAAGAAAAAATTTGGAGTCGTTTTTGAGAAAATTTTGGTAAATATCCCGAGGGCGTCATGTAAAATATCCTCAAATTTTAAAGGATGTTTTGCAAAATCACAGATCGTCAAGTCAAGCCAGATCGACCGGAGAATATCCATTTTGGAAAAAAATCGTACGTATGGTTTAGGCGCTAGTAGTGCGCACAGACGGAAGGACGTTTTGAAAAAAAAAATTTTTTGTCGGTATTAGAGGACACCAAATCATGCATTTCCGTTGAAATCTCGAAATCAATTTTCCGCAGCATTATATATCTTTCTCTGTACACCATATATACGTACGTATTCGAGAAAATAATATCTATTCTACGTATATTACTCCGTATATATGTACTATAACACCCTCACCCTTATTTACTTTTAAAAAAAAGTTTTTTAAATTAGTCGATCTGACCGCAACTCGCCCTGCGCCAGTTCTCCAAGAAGAGGGATGATTCCTGGGGTGACCCGCCTTACCTGTTCTCCAGATTTCCCCTCAACTGCGTTGCCCCGGTTGCTGTCTGAAATTTCGGTGGGAAGCATGCGTGATCGGCTATTCCATGCACTAATGCAATGAAAGTCATCGTAAGTTTAACAAATGGATTATAATTCCCATTTCATGGTTGAGGTGAGGCCTCCAATTACAATATTAATTTTCTTAACCTAACTTAACCCAATTTAGCTTAGTGATCATGCCCTCTCGGGTCAGCGCCCGGGCGCTCGGACCCTCAGGCGGGTGCGGCGTCAGACCCGGCGTTCATTACCTTCAGTGGCGCAAGCGGTGGCCCTCTCTGGCGGCAGCAGTACAGCCTACCACACCTCTGGAAGGGCGGGCGGAGCAGCAGGCGGCGTCCTGGCGTCTCAGGCGCTAGCGACGTCTCCCCGGGCGTCAGCAGCGTGGCCAAGACCGCGGCGGTCGCGCCTCTACCCGTCAGGTTCTGGCGCGAATTCGGACGCTCTGGCTG